GTTCACGGCCAGATTCCTCAAAGGGACTGTCCGTTGCCCTCCAGCCCCGCCTTTCCTCAGTCAGATCAGTCCCCCCTCTCCTGCCCTCCTTTCCTTAGGCCTCTCCTTACTTCACCCACTGCTCAGGCTCAGCTGAGGACCCAATTCGACGAAGCGGCGGGAGCGGTCGGGGGAGCGCTTCCACACCGGGCCTCCACCAGCTTTGGTCTTCCCTCCTGCTTTGAGGGCAGCCCGCTCCCCCTCCCTTCAGGGCTTCGCCGCCGCCGCCTATGGCGACTCCTCTCCAGATCATCACTGGTTCAGCCTCGGCAGCGTTCCAACATACCGGGAGATCTCATCCATTCGGTACCCTCTTCCGGCAACTACCCCGACTTTCTCTTCGCGTTGTAGCAAAACTCAAGTGCCCAGCCTTGGCTTTCTCCAACTGTTTCCTTCCTAGTCTGCGAACCCCCCTCCAATCAGGTTTTAGTCTGCCAGAGCTGCTCTTAAGAGCAACGCTGATCTCGTTACTGCCAAACCTGACGTGCTCAGCCTTCATCTTGTATCAGCCTCGAGGGAGACCCAGTCGGCCGTCTTCGCCTTCTGAGACACAGTTCGCGTGTGGCTTCCGTGTACTGCGCTCCTTCACTGTCCCGCCTCACCTGCTGCCTGCCTTCTGCATGGGTCTCAGCTTTCTGATTCCTAAGGGCCCCGTCCTCGGAACTCTTGTCTCTGCTCTCCTCCTAAGCCAGCCCGTCCAGTCCCACGATCTTAAATATACACCGTAGGCTGTGGAGAGAGTGCACTTCTCTCCTTCGTGCTCCTGACTTGCCTCCTTGGCAGCCTACTGGCGGCCTACACCTGGATGTCTAAAGGATCCGAAGCAACACTTGGCCCCGATCGCTAAAATTAAACACACAGATGCAAATGTTGGCAAAGATGCAGAGCAACAGAAACTTACTGCGTGGCGGAGGGGAAATTGTTCCGCTTTGGCGAGTGGTTTGGCGGTGTCTACTGAAGTTGAACGCGTGTCCCCCCCCCCCCCCCCATGATGCCATAATTTCACCCCTAGGTGTTCAAACAGATGGGTACACGTGCACAGAAGACACGTACGAATGTCACTGGTGCCATTATTCGGAATTGCCTCGCACTGGAAACGGTCGGAACGATGCATCTGTTGGTAGGACGGAGAGACGGTGCTACGTGCACAGCTCCTTGCAGCTGTGAGCCTCACACGCACGGTCTGAGTTTAAAAAGCTAGTCACAGAAGCCTCCAGCTTTGCGAGTTTGTAGGAGCAGAGAGCAAAACCGGTGAAACTTATCTGTGGTATTAGAATGCAGGACGGCGGTTACCTTTGGGGAAGAGCGAGGTTGTGACTGGAAGGGGCTTGAAAGGGGCTGCTGGGATGCTGGTTGTACAGATATGTTCTTTGTACGCTTGTATTTGGTGTGTGTGGTTTTTTTTTTTTTTTTTTTTACCATGTTTAAACAAGTTCCAAAACTGAATTCTGATTCGTCACCCCCTCGTGTGAACCCGCGCCCTCTCTGGTGACCTCCGGCTCAGAACACCGAAGCTTCTTTCTGCGGGTTACACGAGCCAAAGCCCTGAGAGCCATTCTGGTTTCTTTCTCTCATGCTTCCACGTCCACACCGTCAGCAAACCGGTCTGTTGTGTTTTCAAAATATGGCCTCAACCGCTTCCTACCACTCACTGCTACGGTTTTGTCCAAGTTGCCATCAGCCCTTAGTTGGACTTCTTGGAGTAGTGTCCCGCTCGAGTCTTCTGGTACTTTCGACCCTGCAGTCTCTTCCCTACATCACAGCAAGTGACCCTTTTATTTTATTCATTTTTAATTGTTTTAATGTTTATTTATTTTGAGAGAACATGAGCAGGGGAGGGGCAGAGAGAGAGGGAGACACAGAATCCAGGCAGGTTCCAGGCTGTGAGCTGTGAGCACAGAGCCCGACATGGGGTTTGAACCCACGAACCGTGAGATCATGACCTGAGCTGAAGTCGGACTTTTAACCGGCTGAGCCACCCAGGTGCCCCAGTGACCATTTTAAAACATAACCAAAATCACATCCCTCCCCTGCTCAGTAGGCTCCAGTGACTTACCGGCTCATTCTGAGTAAAATGCCAAATCGTCCCAAGGCCAGGCAGGCCCTGCGTGAATGTTTTCCAGCCATCTGACCTCTCCTACCACTCACCGAGCTCCAGCGGGTGTTCCTAGAACAGCCAAATGCTTCCGTCACAGCCAAATGCTTCCAGGCCACACCCTCTGCCTGGAAAGTTCTCCTCCCAGGTATCTACTTAGTTCATTCCTTCAGTCTCTGTTTGGAAACGGACCCTCTCCTGAGAAAGGAGTTTCCGGCCATCTGATTTGCATCGGCAGGGCAGCCCTTAGGGGGGTTTCCCACAAGCCATCTGTGCTATTTTAGTGCTATTTAAAATACCATCGCTCAGCATTGTACACATCTAAAAATTTTTTTAATATTTATTTATATTTGAGAGAGAGAAAGAACCAGCAGAGGAGGGGTAGAGAGAGAGGGAGACAGAATCCAAAGCAGGCTCCAGGCCGAGCTGTCAGCACAGAGCCCAATGCGGGGCTTGAACTCACAAGCCGTGAGATCGTGACCTGAGCAGAAGTTGGACGCTCAATCGACCGAGTCACCCAGGCGCCCTGGCATTTTACACATTTATTTAGAATAAATGTGAGTTCTGTGAAAGCAGATTTGGTTTGGTCCACGTCTGAAGCCCCACTACTGTAAGGCCAGCTAACTCTCAGGCACTGGCTGTGGATGAGTTACTTTTAATGAAGACCGACTAGGTTATGTGAGATTTCCCCCTTTCCTGCTTCCCTCACCAAGGTATTGGACAAAAACCCAGTGAGGTGGCCCTTTATAATCTGGCGACAGACTAGGAAATTGCCGATCTAGGACCTTGGGAAAAATGCTTGGTCTCTATATGGGGACTGGACAGTCTTGGACGCTGAAACACCCTTAGAACTACATATGAAGGTCATAGGATTTTTTAGAAATCATAGAGAATTCCTTGCCTCCCAAAGTGTTGTTTTCTGGGTTACTGCTGAGATCCTTGTCAATGGTCGTGGCTACACCTCTGATGTAAACTGAACCGCTCTATTTTTCTGGGCTGATCATAATTTCAAGGAAAAAGCTGTAACTTCTTTTAAAGTTTTTTAAAAAGCTGTAACTTCTAACTTCCAAATCTCCCCTTTAGATTTTAGTTGTACCCCGCCGTCTAGTCCGACACACTGGGATCCGGCACGTTACGTAAATCTGTAGCTACGTTATGGTAGGTGTCTGTGGCGTATAAATAACAAAATTAGGGGAAAAAAGACATACCGCTTAAAGTAACTTCCTTTCTCGGTTCTTCAAATAGGAGTGAGGAGGGAAAAAAGGAGAGCCCGTGGCTAGGGGACACGTCAGGCAAAGGACACCAGGCACCACAGTGGGCGATGAGACGGACGCGTCTGAGCAGCGGCTGGTAGTCTGCCCGCCTGGGGACCTGGGAGGTGTTCCGGGACAACTAGGAGATACGGTTTTGTGGGCTACTCAGAAAGATACAGAAACTAAGGTCACGTTAACTTTCGGAGTCTCCCTGCTCGTCCCTGGTCGGGGCCTGGCATACTGGGAGTGGTTAGCACACAGTCTGGAGAGCTGGTGGGCCGGCACAGGGGGAGGCATGGAAGAGGATGAAGTTAGGCAGTGACCGCATAGTCCCGGGGCTCCGCATCTGACCTGACAGCATCTCTGAAGGGATCAAGTTAAGGGAACAGAGTGGAATCTTTCAGGGTTCAGGACGCATTTCCACATAAATCCTGTTCATTTAGGAATCGGTGGTACAGGGACAGGAGTCCTCTCCTTGCAGACAGACGCGGGGTTTCCCATTTGGGGATCTCCTCTGAAATGAGGACCCTTCCCACAGATGCAGAGGCTTCATTTCCTTGGAATCTGAGCGGCTCAGATTCCAGCCAGAGCTTACCCTGTGACCGGGGTCCAGTCCTCCTGGCCAGTCTTATCTCTCCCCAATGGGACGACCTAAGTCCTACGTGACAGAAGTCTCGAGAAATTGAGGAATACCAAGGTGACGTTCCTTTATAGATGCGTCAAGTTACGACAGAAAAAGGTCCTGAGGTTTAAATGGCTACATTATTTCCTGAATTCTGTTTTTCACCGTCTGGCATCTTCAGTCAAGGAGGGGCCCAAATCCCAGTGTGGGTCACTGGCATTTATATAAATAAGCCAAAAAGACTGCATGGATTTTTTTTTTTTTTCACTTGTGAAAATCTGCAGCGCCCCCTCCCCCAAACCTCACCTGCAGAAGAGTCTAGAACTCCTTTTCTATGCTACCCTGTTGTCAGAGCTCTCCATTCTCAAGGCCAGGCTGGGAAGTTGTCAGGTGCCCCTTAAAAGAGCTACCTGATCGTCAGACTCCATCCGGAGGAAACCTGATGCTGATTTCTGGCTGACGCGTCGCCCTGCCTGCCGGGGGCATCGTGGGCACGGTCGTCTGCTTCAGAAATCTGGGGGCCAAGGAAAAGCAGGTAAAATGACCTTTACACAGCTGCTTAATTTCTGCAGTGTGGTGAGGAAATAAGTTGACCCTACACCCCAGAGCCTGTGCGAACCCAACTTAAAAGATATCACAAAAACTATACTGTGTACAGCAGCCGATCTGTGAGGCTTGTAAGAGGAGCTGCAGGAAGAAGCTACAATTCAAGGAGGGGGAATGAAGCCTGCCCCCTTGTTCTTTCCAGGGTGCGCGGCAGGAGTGTGCCTGGTCTAACCCCCCAGGCCGGTCTCTGAGCGCAGGGCCTTGGCAACAGAATTTTACAAAGTTCCTGAAGTGATTCCACGATGCAATGAGGGTTAAATAACACTGGTTTCAGGTACAGAAGAGGATCTTTGTAGGTTGTGATGAGCTAGAATGTTAAAACCAGGAGAGAAAATAACAGGAAGGTTTAACGTTACACTGACGTAAGCCACTATATAATGAGTCATTAATTTAAGAATGCTTTACAGTTCTTTTTATTAGGAACCAGTTAATCAACTTAAATGCATCAGAACAGAAGCATAAGAGATCCCCAGCCTAGTTACTGAAGCACAGACGCTTTCTATTGGCAAAACATGCATAAATATACACACTCTAGATGCGACACAGCAAAATGCTGACGTGCAGTGACCCCGTTCAAGAGTACACTGTGAACACAAAAAAGTGGAATATAAAATTCCAAACAACCTTTGAAAGCGTCCACTCCAAATCCCCTCATTCACGGAGCAAAGTGAAGCTTAAAACAGTCGAATTTTCCAATGTCACAAAGTTGCTCGGAAACCACTGGATTACTTCATCCCAATGTACTTTCCCTTCCATAGTGCGACCGTGAAAAGTTAACATCTTTTAGGCAGTTTCTCACTTCACTCTGAATCTTCAGCACTTAACCAAAGGACAGGCCGGAGCAAATGTGTCCGCCACGTCTGTGATGTTCCCGCCAGGGTCATATGCCCGGGTGCAGTCTCTGGTGCTTGTTGAGAGCAGAGCGGTATCGGAAGGCTTTCCCGCAGTCGCTACATCCAAAAGGCTTCTCTCCCGAGTGAATCCTCTGGTGCTGGATGAGGTACGTGCTCTGGCTGAAAGTCTTCCTGCACTCGTTACAGTTATAAGGTTTCTCCCCCGTGTGCGTGTTCTGGTGTTCGGTCAGGTGCGTGCTGCGGCTGAAGGCTTTGTCACACTCGTTGCACTTGTAGGGCTTCTCTCCCGTGTGAATTCGCTGGTGCTGAGTCAGGTGAGAGCTCTGGCTGAAAGCCTTTTCGCATTTATTACACTGGTAGGGTTTTTCTTCCGTGTGAGTCTTTTGATGTTGAGCAAGAGAGGAACAGTGCCGGAAGGCTTTGCCACACTCCGCGCACTCATAAGGCTTTGCTCCCGTGTGAATCCGCTTGTGTTGCGTGAGGTGTATGTTCTGGTTGAAGGCTCTCCCGCACTCGTTACACTTGTAAGGTCTTTCTCCGGTGTGTATCTTCCTGTGCTGAATCAGGGAGGAGCCGTAACTGAAGGTTTTCCCACATTCGTGACACTGATAGGGCTTCTCACCGGTGTGAATTCTTTCGTGTTTAGCAAGAGATGAACTCCGAATAAAGGCTTTCCCACACTCCTTACATTCATAAGCTTTCTCCTGGGTGTGAGTCTTCTGATGTTGATTCAGGTTGGAGAGATAACTGAAAGCCTTTCCGCACTCATTGCATTCAAAGGGCTTTTCCCTGGTGTGAATTCTCCGATGCTGCGTCAGGGACGAGCAGTAACTGAAGGCCTTCCCGCATTCGTTGCACTTGTAAGGTTTCTCTCCGGTGTGAATTTTCAGATGTTGAGCGAGGGAGGACCAGTAACTGAAGGACTTTCCGCATTCGGCGCAGTCGTACGGCTTCTCCCCGGTGTGTGTTTTCTGATGTTGGGTGAGGTTGGAGTGCTGACTGAAGGCTTTCCCACATTCGTTGCATTCGTAGGGTTTTTCACCAGTATGGATCATATGGTGACGAATAAATGTCGAGGGCCCATTGAAGGCCTTCCCGCATTCGTTGCATTTATAGGTCTTCTCCCCGGTGTGAATTTTTTGATGCTGAGTAAGGTGCGTGCTCCTGGTGAAGGTTTTGTCACATTCATCACATTTGAAAGGTTTTTCTCCTGTGTGAATTTTCTGATGTTCCATAAAGTGGCCTCTCTGGCTGAAGGCTTTTCCACACTCATTGCAGGTGTACGGTTTCTCCCCAGTATGAATCCTCTGGTGCTGCACAAGATGGGTCCTCTGACTGAAGGCTTTCCCACATTCGTCACATTTATAGGGTTTTTCTCCAGTGTGGATTCTTTGATGTTGAGTAAGAGACGGACCCTCAATGAAGCCCTTCCCACACTGATCACATTTGTAGGGTTTATCTCCAGTGTGAATTCTTTGATGGTTGATAAGGTTTTCACTCCGGCTGAAGGCTTTTTCACATTCGTTACATTTGTAAGGCTTCTCCCCGGTGTGCGTCCTCTGATGGCGAATGAGAGCAGAACAGTAACTGAACGCTTTCCCGCATTCGTTGCACTTACAAGATTTCTCTTTTCTGACCGGGTTTGTATTCTGCTTGACGCTCGTCTTAGTAGCGGTCTCTTCTGCAGATGTTTCTTGTGTCACAAGGTTTGAGCTTACACTGATGCTTTTTTCAAAGTCCTTATTTATAGGGCCTCTCTCCCAAGCGGGTATTGTCTTTTCGGTTATTTTTATTTCTCTTGGCAGCGCCTGCTGGTGTGCCTGACGCTTCTCCAGACTGCCTTCGTACCCCCAACTTTCTGAAAAGTCAGAACCGTGAGGGTCTTCCCTTTTGTGGTTTTCCACCACTGCCCCGTGACACGGCTGCTCTTCAGAAATGTCCGGCTCTGGGACTGCTTGGCTATCTTCTGGTCCGATGTCATGGTCTGCAAGAAAAAGAAAACACCTATATTCTCTATTCAGAAGGCGGGAAAATAACTGCCCTTGTGGGAATGATCTAATGAAGCTAAAAACAAAGCTTTTGGGAAGTCCTGAGGACTTTCGAGCGCAGCCCTATTATTTGAGGAGAACGTTGGAAAGAGCCAAGGAGAGCCATAAATAAAATCCGAAAGCGGCGAGACAATGTCTAATTCCACATCACAGATCATCTCTAAGAGCCAGTAAGGAAACGCCACTTGAGGTCACAGCAGATTAAGGACAGACCACAGAGCTGGCCAAGAGGAGACACAGATAGGCTAACGGAGGTGGTCTGAAGTGGGATCCCTTGCCACTGAACAGCAAAACAAAAATCAAGGAATCAAGATTCCCAGTAGGGACAGAACGGGAAGACTTGGCTAAGACCACGGTGTTTAGCCTGGAACACGACCCAGCCTGTCTCTGCCAGAGACGCGAAGTTGTCAACAGAGGAAATACTTCAAGGCAGGCAGATGACAAGGTCAATTTTCGGCATTTTGAGAACGAGAAAAGGCAGTGACGGAGCAGACTGGGGTGGTGTCTGTGGGCGTGGAAGATGCCCAAAGTAGAAGGACCCAGACGCTCAAGTAACAGGAAAGATCAGCTTCAGGGGAAGCGAGAGCTGCGGAAGTGACAGGAACGTTTCGGGGGAGGGGCTCAATAAAACATAAGCAGAGTCGAATACGTAATAATCTACACACAAGGCAGTTTATCAGCAAACAAACAACAGAAGCGGCGCCAGACCGGCGCTTCGGCACGGGCAGGAGGCGGAGCGCTGCCCCAGACACAGGCGACAACTAAAACTAGGCCCGTCAACGCCGGTCGAGTCGGGAAAGATCAAAAGCCGCGTTTAAAACGTGTTTCTTTGGTCCCTTTGACAACAGGAGGCTGCGGCAGACCCCTGGGAACCCCGAGTGTCCCGTGCTGCCGGCCTCGTCACGGTCCCTGCCAGCAGGCGCCCAGAGCTCTCCTGTCCCCTCTCCGTCCCTGGCGCCCTGGGGAATGGCGCAGGCGGACTCCTGACAGCGGCGCGTCCCCGGCAGGGACGGGAAGGTCCACGCGACACGGGTCTTGGGGAACGGCCAAGCCTCCGCGTAAGAAACCGGTACGGTACGTTTCCTTAAGAGAACGGCACCTGGCAAGCCACGTGTACAGCACGTGCCCGTGAGGAACGGCTCCCAGAAGCGCTTCCCGGTGAGCAGGTGGAGACCGCGGCCTGTGAGGCCGTTCGGCGGCTCGTCTCCAGCCCCGGAGTCCCAGGGGAAGCCGGGACGTGCTCTCCACGTTGTCACGTCTGCGCGGTAACCAACGGAATGACCAGAAGGGCAGCGGCGGGCGGAGAAGGAAGGCTTGGAGGACGTGGGGCGTGAGCTCGGGAACTCCCGAGCCTGCACCACTGGGTTTCCAAGGCGCAGGGCGCACCGAGCCATAGGAGGAACACGCCCAAGGCCCTGCTTGGGTAGACGAGGGAGGTGGGTGAGATCAGGTAAAGGGGCAGAGGTTTAAGAATAGGGACTCTAAGGATGACAGCATCCAGGAGGAGCTAAACAAGATGAGGCTTCAGGGCGGAAAGCACCCCGTCCCCCCCGACTTAGTACAGTAGCAGGAAGCTGATTTCACAGGAAGGACGGACCCAATTAGGCAAACAGGTACAGAGGGCTATAGACCACCATGGGATGATGTCACCCAGAGCGGAGCTAATTAGCAAAAGAAAGGCGCTTGTGGACCCTGAGGTGCAGGCTCCCCCTAGTCCCCGAGACCCAACCTTCCAACCTTCCGCCAGGAGTTTATTTTGTACTGACCCAAACCCCCAACACCGCCTACCTTCAAAACCCCCTCCCCCCACGCCCATGAGTTAACCTTCACGATTTCATGGATTTCACGGTCTCTTTGTACGTGCCCGTCCCCAGGCTTGTACGCCTCCTGATCCTAATAAAAACGAAGCAAGACCCTTGCTCGGGGCTCTTGTCTCCTCCCGACATTAGCCTCTCTCACATTTTTAATCCTGCATCCGGCTTTCTTGCTAGACAAGAGAGAACTCCAGACCCAGGGTCTACGACAGAGAAAGTTCCAGAAGGCCAGACTGAACCGCACCGTTCCTACTGCAGAAAGGCATTTGCACTTTACTAGTGTGAAGCTGTGGGCACCGAGCGCAGGACCGCAACACCCCTGTGCGTGGAGAAGTACTCACACACGCGGACGGGCGGACTGCCACACACCGGGGAGACCGTAGGGATCGCGGCTACGCATCAAGATTCTGCAGAGACCAGGTCACCAAGACAGCCCAGAGGAGACGGCAGAAAGAGGGCAAGGAAGACAATACAAGGACCAGGAGCCACTTCGGTGCAGGTATTGTTACCGCTTCCGATGACCTGTACATTTCTGTAAATCTGTAAACTGCTTTTACGGAGGCAAAAAGTGCCAGGTCCGCAGCTAAGAGGAAGTCTGCTCTGAGGGCTGAAGTGGGCGGGACCAACAGCCAGCTTACAAGATGGCCATCGTTTGGTCACGTCCCAGGAACAAAAGTAAACCAAAGAATGGAGCCAGATATTTCAAGGGACTGTCTTCTACCTACGGACCGGGTCACTGGAACCACCACCTACATGAGCTATGTATGCAGCTCATGTACATGAGACACCAACATGAGGGGTCTAGTATTTTTACCTAAATAAGTCTTTTTGGTAATGACTAAAGCACTTTGTGAAAAATCTAGGATTTTTCGATACATATTTTTAAATTGCTTTTTCATCTGCTCAAGTTGGAATTTTTAAAAACTTCGTTTTTAATTTGTAATAAAACTTGACCATTTTTTTCCCCAAAAGTTAATGTGTAAGCATGACTTAAAAAAAGCTTTTTTTTTTTTAAGTCACTTTTCTAAATTGTGTTCCATGAAACCATCTTCTTTTAAAAAATGTATTTATTTTGGGGGCGCCTGGGTGGCTCAGTCGGTTAAGCATCCGACTTCGGCCCAGGACGTGATCTCACAGTTCCTGAGTTTGAGGCCCGCGTCAGGCTCTGTGCTGACAGCTCGGAGCCCGGAGCCTGCTTCGGATTCTGTGTCTCCCCCGGTCTCTCTCTGTCTGCCCCTCCCCAGCTCATGCTTGCACTCTGTCTCTGTCAAAAACTTAAAAAAAAAATTTATTTATTTTGAGAGGGAGTGCACACAGGGGACGGGCAGAGAGGGAGAGAGAATCCCAAGCAAGCTTCACGATGTCAGCACAGAGCCCGATGTGGGGCTCAAACTCCCAGAACGTGAGATCATACCAAGAGTCGGACGCTCCATGGACTGAGCCACCCAGGGGGCCTCTAAGGGAACTATTTTAATTGTGCAGTTTGGAAAGGATTCACTGTTGGGAGGGTGAGGGTTTGAGGCAGAATGTGCCATTCCATGCAACCCTGTTGGAAATTCCTAATGGCCAACTACGTATTTGAAAATCTGAGTTCTTCTGGCAAGAAACCTGCTAAACTTTTAGATGATCCAACACTTCCCAAATCTGAACACAGAGTACTTTCTTTTCTCCATAGAAAAGAACCCCCGCCCCAGCTCACTGACTCTGCAGATCTATCCCTTACCTTGTATGACTAAGTCTGTATACGTTTTCAGGGTCAGATCTCTGAAGAGGTCTCTCTGTGCAGTTGGGAATTCACGGTTTACAAGAAAGTTATTCACAGTCTCAAGGACGGTCTGAGTCGTAGGATCGGAGGCGTAAGGAATAAAACGGAAGACTGCAGACACAGACTCGCTCGTGCAGAGTTTGGCTGGGAAGGCAAGGAGGCAGCCTGGATGGTGGCCGAAAGGATGACCAGTGTTGAGTAAAAGTATTCAGAAATTTAGGTTACTGTTTCCGTTTGAAAGGCCTAGTAATAGAGCCTGTAGATCTAAAAAAAGGGGGGAAAACAACCCTGTAGGGCTGTACAGCGAGGTGATAGTTAAGAGACAGTTAGATCAGAGTCCCAAAGGAGGTGGGGAAAGATGGAACCCACCGGAGTCCAGGTTAAGAGGTTGCCTTCAGAACAAGGCAGGAAGGATGCCTCCTGGGAGAGGAATATAAAACTAGAACAGATGTCGAAGGCCCCAGTGTTCTCACAAAGCCCAAGAGTCCGGATGGATTCTCGTTTCGCCACGGGAGCTGCTTTCAAGAAAAACAGATCTATCTAGATTTCAGCCATAAAAACCTCTTGCCAGGCTGAGGCCTAGAAGTGACGATGCTCTTGCCTCAGGTCCCCAGTACTTACCCCCGCCAGTAGCTCCCGGAACACCGGACTCCACCACCCATGGCTCCGTCCCTTGTTCTAACTGGGAAATCACGTCAGGTTTGGAGACTTGGAGTCCTGCTCACAGGGGGAAAAAAAGGTGTCTGGCTGCAGTAAAAGCCCCGTGGGACAAATCCGACGGCTCTGAACAGCACATAAAGCCTCAGCGGTCCAAATGCCCAGACATGGTTTAATCTGGAAACTGACGTGGGTTCAGAAAAATTACTAGGTTGTACTTCTACCTGGTAGGAGAGTAGAAACCTTTTCAAAACTTAGCAATCTTTGCTTCCTTAACTTCATCAGAGGCAAAAACTTACCGAAGCAGAGAGCCCTCCTCCTCCACACCCACAGACACTTAACTCCGAGAGACCCTTACCTATAGAGACAAGGTGTGTATAATTCTCCAGCGTCACATCCCTGAACAAGTCTCTCTGTACAGGGTCCAGCTGTTTCCATTCCTCCTGGGTAAAATCCACTATCACATCCTTGAAGGTCACGGATTCCTGAAATAGCAAACATATTTCTCCTCAGCCATAACGCACTAACCCGGGGAAAGGGCCAAGTCGGCAACACTGACAGAAGCAAGGCGAGACAGTTGCGGGGCCATGTGGAAAAGGACTCTGATGGTTCCTCTTTGTGAAGTGACTATAAAAACGGTACCTCGTTCGTAGGCTCCCTGTGAGATCTATATAAGAAGTCAACGTGACACATTTAGGGTCTGGCATACAATTAGTGGTAAGTCAATGGAGGCCTTTGTTGTGGTCAGTCATCGTCACCTCTGTGTTCTAAGGTCTATCAAGTATTAATAATACACCTAACAAAAATGAAATGTTTTACTACCTACAATGTTCAGTAACAATCAAAAATGTTTCTGAAAGAATCTGGGGAGAATTCCCTATCACATCTCAAAGTATACCAAGATGTATACCAAAAGATTAAGATAAATTAAAACTGAGTGGCCGAGTAAGGAATAAAACTCAATGTAGCAAAACAGTCCAAAAACGGACCCATGGTTATAAGAACTGAATATATGGATTGAGCAACCATCAAATCAGTTTGAAAAAGCTGAATTAGTCCCCAAACGGTGTCATAACAGTGACTGTCCAGAGAAAAAAATGAAGGTGGGTTCCTTCATGGCACACAAATATTTCTGTTGAGTCGAAATTCAATTTTAAGAAAAAGCAAAAATAGAATAAGAGGTAGGGTTTATAATCTTGCAGTGTAGAAAGCAAACATCCTAAGACAGACTGACCCACACCGCCACACAAATGTGTAAAACTTCCCAAGCCATTAAAAGGCAATATTCTGAGATCCCACAAATAGCAAAAGAAGCCCGATGAACCCACATCAATAAAAAAAAAAAAGCCAACAACCCAAACAGGCAATTCACCCGACAGTGTTAAATAAGCCATGAAAAAATGCCCCACTCCACCGCCACCTCGGTGGGAGGAGCTCAGGCCGGCTAGCGCCGCGGGCAGCGCGCATGTGCAGCTTGGCAGGGACACGCGGTCTGTCTCCCGGGCAATCTGACGGGAGCCATAGAACTTGAAATGCACGTATCCGTGAATCCAGCGTTATTGCCTGTAGGAATTTATTCTCCAGAAACACCTCGGATGCAAAGACATACCACCAGTCCCCTCGCAACACCGTGGAGGGAAAACAAGCAAATGCCCATTAACAGGACAGTGCTTACAGACTTTGTGGTGTATCCGCGCTACGCACCTGACGCGGACTTTTAAATGAAGCAGCTCGATGTGCCCTAATTAGGAAATGACGTGTGATACGAAGATCAGTATACATGGCCTGATCCTGGTTCTGTTCTTATGAACAGGCAAGTTCTACGTAAATGACAGAAAAAAACCTACAAGACGACACAACCAAATATCAGTGGCGCTGTGTGGTGGGACTCGGAGGCAGGACGGGAGACGTCCTACTTTTGTCTTTATTCTGCGTTTGAAATCGGGTGAGTTAATTTGGTTTGAAATTGGTAACTGTTGAGATTTCTGCCTCTAACCACAGCAGAGCGACCGGACGGGCTCTCCCGGTGCAAGCGAGCGCACGCCCCGAAACAAACACGCTGGCGCTTGAACAGCAGGCAGACGGAGAGAGGGGAACCGGTCACCTGAGCCCCGCACCCCCTCGTTTCCGCCCCGGAGGCGCTAGGGACCCACAGCAGGAGGCAGGGCCCATCCCCGACGGGCGGGCGTCTCCCCGAGACCACGCCGGAGGCTCAGGACTGCGCGCGGAGGAACGTGCACGTTATGGCGTAAGCTCTGTCACACGGACAGCTGCCGCGGTGACAGAGCCAGAGCGGAGGGGACGCGCACGCTCCACTCCCATACGTTCCGGCACACTCCAGGAGCGAGGCCAGAGGAACAGCGGCAGGTCTGGGCTGTTCGGCGCTTGCTAAGCTGCAGGGACACGTGAACAAGCCCTGGAAACGAATGCCTGGGAGTCCCCGACGGCGGTGTTACCGTGTGCCTACGCGCCACGTCCCAGACCTGTCCGCACGTGAAGACACGCGCACACGGCGGCGCCCACTTCGGGGTCTGCGCCACAGCCGCCCAGAGCCGCTCAGGACTCCAGCAGGCTTCCCGTCTCCTCCCCTGTCCGTGCGTCCCAGCTGGAAAGGAAGTGCCTCTGCGTGACCCGTCACAGAGGGAGGACTCGGAAGCGTGTACCTGATGTCTCTGGATTCCGCTCGGGATCTTTTCCCTTCTCACGCTGTTTTGTGTCCTTTGTTGTAATAATCTTTAGCCCTAAGTCTTGCCACCGAGTTGGGCGAGTCATTCTGACAAATCACCGAATTCAAGGGTGGTCGTGGGCAGCCCGAAAAATGGACCCAGAGTAAGGCTAGGCTAGACCAGCCTTAAGAAAGCTTAGGGATCAAAAACAAACCGCAAGGGGCGCCTCGGGGGCTCAGTCGGTTAAGCGTCCGACATCAACTCAGGTTATGATCTCACAGTTTATGGGTTTGAGCCCCGCGTCGGGCTCTGGGCTGACGGCTCGGAGCCTGGAGCCTGCTTTGCATTCTGTGTCTCCCTCTCTCTGCCCTTCCCCTGCTCGTGCTCTCTACCTGAAACAAACATCAAAAAACCCCGCAAAACTTCAAGAAGATCAAGCTGTGGTCCAGACGAGAGTAACAAGACTGGATTTACACTCCTGCATGAAATAACCAACAACTCCCAGACAAAACATACGAAACAACAGTTTCCAAGACAACGAATCTGCTACAACAAAGGACAGCCATCCCTAAGAATCGGTAAAGCGGTGAGGTGGGCCGTACAGCTGCTCCCACTTCCTGCCTCGAGAGCCCGCGGGACAGAGGGCCGCGGAGGAGACAGCGAGCAGAGAAGCCGGAAGAACCGCCGAGGCTCCCGCTGGAGCTTCCAGCAAGTACCCAGCCGTGCGTGGCTGCGAAGAGGCCACCGGAGGCAGGGAGAGAATCGCCCGGTACTGGCGTTCAAAATGGGCTGGAAACGGTCTCCATTCTCATCATCGGTCAAAGTGGAAAATTTCACGGTTCACTAGACATTGGGTAGAATACGCAGGAAGGTCGTGTCTCAAGAGTGGCAATAAGTGGCCTTAGACCATACACGGTCCTGGTTCACCTAACAGACCTCAAAACGAGATTTGAAAGAAACACTGGTTCGGGCACCATAACTGCATCCCAGAATAAGGCTCAAGGATATTTGACAGGAACGCAAAACTATGCAGAACCCAACACAAAGTTAAATCAGAGATTTAAATCGGAGATTATGAGGTATACAGAGCAGCAGGAAAATACAGGCTATAATGAGGAAGATAACCAGTTAAAGCCAACCCGGAACTAACACACCTGCTAGAATTAACAGATGAGAACATTAAAAATTATTCTGGCCGCATTCCGTATGTTCAAAAAGCTAATAGAGGCACGCGAGACATTTTTTAAATAGACCTAAGTGGAACGTCTAGAGCTAAAAATGAGAATGTCTGGAGATGAAGAACACACTGAATAGCGTTCATGGCAGATTAGGGATGAAGAAGAAAAGATTAATAAATTCAAAGACAATGAGATAAAAACTATCAAAAATGAAAGAGGAAAAAAAACATGTAAAAAGATGTAGCTTCAGGGAGCTCTGGGCAACTTCAAGTGGCCCATTACGTGTGTAGCTGGAGTCCCTGAGAAAAGAAGAGGAGAGGAGCAGAGAAAACATTTGAAGAAATAAATTTGAAGAAATAAATTTTTTTTCTAAACTTGATGAAAACTGTAAACCCACAGATCGAAGAAACTCCATGAACTCCAAGTATAAGAGACACAAATCTACATCGAGACACATCTTAATTAAATAGCTCAAACCCAGTGATGGAGAAAATCCTGAAAAACAGGGCACGTGAATAAATATAAAGGAACAGAGAAATGACAGCAGCTTTTTCGACGCAAACAGTGCACAGAGGAGGAAACGAAGCAACAGCGTAGAACAGGACAGACAGTGTAGAGAGGAGAACGGTCAACGTAGAACCGAAAAACAAAGGCACAATAAAGACTTCTTCAGATATAAAAATTTGAAGGAATTCCGTGGCTACAAAGGTGCTCTGAGAAATCTTAAGACCTTCATGCAGAAGAAGAAATGATACCAGGTGAAAATAAGGGCCTACACCAAGGGTTCTCAACCTTGTCGTTACGGATATTTTGGACCAGATCATTCTTTTAAATAATCCGGGGGGGGGGAGGGGCATCACTGCATCAACCCACCGGATGCCAACAGCACTTCCCACTGAGTCAGGACAACCAAAATGTCTCCTGACATTTCCGAATGTCCCCGGGGTCAAAATCACCATAATTGTGAATCACTGATGTACATCATAAAGGATGAAAAACACTAGAAATAGTAGTTGGGTGGATAAATATATATACATTTTTCTTACTATTTTTTCCAGCTCTTTAAAAGGTAATTGCTTGGGGCGCCTGGGTGGCGCAGTCGGTTAGGCGTCCGACTTCAGCCAGGTCACGATCTCGTGGTCTGTGAGTTCGAGCCCCGCATCGGGCTCTGGGCCTGGAGCCTGTTTCCGATTCTGTGTCTCCCTCTCTCTCTGCCCCTCCCCCGTTCATGCTCTCTCTCTGTCCCAAAAATAAATAAACGTTGAAAAAAAAAATTATAAAAGGTAATTGCTTAAACAAAAATAAGTATTGTGGGATTTATAACAGGTGTACAAGTAAAACGTGTCTGGGGGCGCACCTGGGGGGCTCAGTCGATTAAGTGTCTGACTCTTAGTTTTGGCTCAGGTCACATAGTCTCATGGTTCGTGAGTTCGAGCCCCCAGTCGGGTTCTGCGCTGACAGCATGGAGCCTGCTTAGGATTCTCTCTCCCTCTCTCTCTGCCCGTCCCCAGCTCATGCTCTCTCACTCTCAAAAATAAACATTAAAAAAATATTAAGAAAAAAATAAAATTTCTTGAAAAACAAACATATGGCAATAACTGCATTAAAAACTGGGAGGAGTGGACTGGAAGTGCACTACTGGAAGGTTCTTACGTTATTCCTGAAGGGCAGCCTCGCCTGAAAGTAAATGGCAATAAATGTGTATACCTTAAGCAACAGATAAAATAACCAAGAGTTATGGCTAGTAAGCTAGTGAAGAAAACACACTGGAATCCTAAGCAGTATTAAGTTTCCAGAAGAAGGTACGGATAGAGGAAAAAGGGAATGAAGGCAATACAAATAAGAAAAAAAAGCCAGATGGCAGACTTACACTGATCACTTCAACAATCACGTTAAATGTAAATGTATCATATTAGATATAAAATCACATTAAATAAATAGCCTAAACACCCCAGCGCAAAGGCAGATTGCCTGACTGGACAGAAAAAGCAAAACCCAATGAACTACATGTTGTCTATAAGTAACTCACTTTGAATATAAAGACACAAAGTAAAAGCAAAGGATGAAAAAAGATACACTACGCTGACACCAAGCAAATATCAAAGTAAGTTTCGAGACAAACAACATTACCAGGCATAAAAAATAAAAAGTTCATTCCTCAATGATAAATAAGGTCAGGTGATTAAGAGGACATAACAATCCTAAATGTTTACACACCTAGAAGCAGCTTCACAATACATGAAGGAAAAGCCGATGGAATTGCAAGGAGAAATAGACAAATCTATATAATAACAGCCCCAAATTTCACTATCCCTATCACAACATTTGATAAAACAAGTAGAAAATCAGTAAGGATATAAAACACTTGAGGGGCGTCTGGGTGGCTCAGTCTGTTAAGCGTCTGACTTCGGCTCAGGTCATGATCTTGCCGTCCATGAGTTCAAGCCCCAGGTCAGGCTCTGTGCTTTCAGTTCAGAGCCTGGAGCCTGCTTCGGATTCTGTGTCTCCCTCTCTCTCTGCCCCTTCCCTGCTCACACTGTGTCTTTCTCTCTCAAAAATAAAAAATATATATATTAAAAAAAAACCCACTTGAACAACAACTTGACCTAAATGACACGTGTGGTATATGGAATAGTGGCCCTCCCAAAGATGTCCACATCCTAATCCTTAAAACCTATGAAATTATTATCTCATACAAGAGACACTGCAGAAGCGATCCCGGTGGGGAAATATCCCAGAATGCATGAGGGGCCCAAGGTAATCAAGAGTCCTTACAAGAGGGAGGCAAGAAGGTCACAGGGCAGATGTGAAGAGGGAAACAAGTCAGAGTCGCAGAGAGGTCTGCAGATGGAGGAAGGGGACACAAGCCAAAGAATGCAGGCAGCCTCGAGAAGCTGGAAGAAGGGAACAGATTCTGCCCTGGAGCCTTCAGAGGATGCAGCCCAGCCTACTGACCCCTGCAACTAAGCCAGTAAATGTGTGGGTTCAAGCCATTAACCTTGTAAAAGGAAACAAATACATTCTTAGAATCCTCTACCCAACAACCTGAAAAAATACACATTCTTCTCAAGTGCTCACTGCTCATTTATCAAGATAGACTATAATGAGAACAAAAGTCTCAGATTCAAAAAGATTCAGTCATACAGAGAATGTTCTCTGGTTGGGTATCTTCACTGTCTTGACTGTGGTGATGGTTTCATGAGTGCACGTGTACGTCAAAACTTACCGAGTTATACACTTTAAATATACACAGTTTATTATCATATCATTCACCAATAAAAAATAAAGACCTACCAGAGTCTTTGAGTCTGAGCTCAAAGTAGGAAGAACTGGGGTCATTTCTTTGACGATTACATTGTGGGACAAGAAGTAGGGGAAAAAAATCTAAGAAAAAGGAGCCTGATTAAAGGGGGGCTTGAGGTTAATTATACCTGGTGGAATAATGGTTACCTTTTTTTCCTAAATTCTCAGTTACTGTTTTTTCTTAAAACATTGTCCTGTCCAATCCCTCCTCAGAAACCACTAATGGTTCATGAATGGCCTACAGAATAAAGCCTTCAACACCTCGTCTAGACATCAGAGGCTTGTCCTGTTCCAACTTCTTCAACCATTTGTTTACCATCTGCCCAAAGAAACCAGCTCCCACAATCTTCATGAACCCTATGTGACACCTTTCTTACTTGTGAACCTTTGCTCAAAATCTTCTCCATACCGAGGGGTGCCTGGGTGGCTCAGTCAGTTAAGCGTCCAACTCCCTGATTTCAGCTCGGGTAACCATCTCACGGTGCATGAGTTCCAGCCCCGCTGACAGCACAGAGCCTGCTTGGGATTCTCTCTCTCTACCCCTCCTCCACTCACTGACTCTCTCTCAAAATAAATAAATAAACATTTAAAAAAATATATCCAAATGTCACCCATCCTTGTACTAGTAACACAAATCCCTTATCCCCGTGAAACTCTCCTGACCCCGCCAGACCACACACTTTTTGCATTCTCTATTTTCACGGTACTCATTTAACCTGTTTTATATTTACCTGTTCTGGTTTTTAGCGGTCATTTGGCCTATTCAAGTTAAGGATCAAGTCAAGACTTGATCTTCTTTTGCTCTCTCACTGTTGGAGCATGACAAGATACGAAGCAAGAGGTTAAGTCACAAACGTGTCAGTCAAGCTGAAGAAGCAGAGGTCCGAACAAGGTCACTGGGCAGGTGGGAGCCCAGAATGAATTCCCAACATTGGCTTTTAAATGAACATGCCCCACAGCAAAAAATACACAATCCACTCGAAGGACTAAAATGGCATTTGGGATCATTCCGACTTACGTGAAAACTGGCTGGTGGGAGGAGAGTATGGCCCCCTGGGAGAAGGGTGGACTCTGAAGAGGTCGGATCTGGAGAAGAAGAAACCACAGTGAGTCGTGTCAACATTAGCTGGTCCCTGCAATCTTAAATCCAGATTATCTTTCTACGTGAGAATAGCAGGAACTATTATGCCATTTCCTTTACTTCTCAGAATCCAAAAAAAGAGACAAGATAAATGCTGACTAGCACGTGGCACCCTCATCGGTAGGCTCGGGAGGTAAAGCATTACTCTCACAGTTCTGTCTCTAGACTTAACAGCATCATTCAACTCAATCTATGTTCCCTGTTAACTGAGGCAAAGTATTTCTGCTGCCGTCTCCGCTATATCCAACATCTGAATAAAAAATGATTGTTTCCAGGGGCACATGGGTGGCTCAGTTGGTTGAGCATCTGACTTTTGATTTCGGCTCAGGTCACGATCTCGTGGTTCATGAGTTCGAGCCCTGCATGGGGCTCCGCCCGGACGGCGCAGAGCCTGCTTGGGATTCTCTTCCTCCCTCTCTCGCTCAAAAATCTATGAACATTTTTTTTTAAATGAAAAAAAGATACGATTACTTCCCAGGCCCTTTGAAACTCTGCTATTCATGAACATTAAATATCACAATAGCATATATTAGTCATCCTACCTACCCGCTAGATTGTCTAAAAATTAAACAGACCTGATCAGTACTAACTGCGGCAAGGACATAGAGAAACTGGAACTTTTGTGCAGTTGCCTGTAAATTTATCAATCACATAGAAAACGTGTTTGGCAGGTATATACTGACTTTAAACATGTTCATTGTGAATTCAGCAATTCCACTCGTGTGCCTACAATCATGAAAGTGAGGGCTTACAACCACCTAAACACTTGTACAGGACTGCTCATAGCAGGTTTACTGATGATAGCCCCAAACCGGAAATAACCCAAACATCTTTCAACATGAATAAACCATGACATTTTCATACAACAGAATATTATTCAACAGTATAAAGAACGAGCTGTCGATATACCAAATAACATGGATGTAACTCATAATGTTGAGCAAAACAAAAAACATAACAAGACGCATACTATGTAATTTCACTTAAATAAAAAAAAAAAAAAAAACAGACCAAACTGGTCTATGGTAATAGAACAGTGATTACCTCTGGAGGGATAACAACTGGGCAGGAGCACAAGAGAAACTTCTGGGGCATCGGAAACATTCTATATCTTAATGTGGTGGTGATTACACTGGTATATGATACATAAAAAATTAATCAAGCACTATACTCTAGATTTGTGCACTTTATGTATATAATTGATATGTCAACCAACAAAAACAAACATTGCTCTTGGGGAGGTCTATTCAGAGTAATGGTTACCAGGGAAGCCCGGTTCTCAGAAAACAGAGGAAGCAACAAAAGGAACTGTTTATTTTTCTAGACTTAAATTTGATCAGTAAGGGAAAACTGATCTGTAATAGAAATTTTGAGGAAAAAAAATGAAGATGTGATTTTATAGTTTTTATTTAAACTTTTTTATGTTTACTTTTTGAGATGGGGGTGGGGAAGGGGGAGTAAGAGAGGGAGACACACAGTCTGAAGCAGGCTCTGGGCTCTGAGCTGTCAGCACAGAGCCTGATCTGGGGCTTCAACCCACAAATCCTGAGATCCTCACCTGAGTTGAAGCTGGATGCTTAACTGAGTGAGCCACCCAGGCGCCCCAAGAGGTTTTTTTTTGTTTTTTTTTTTTTAAGTTTTTGTCTTTTATTTAGTGTTGCTAACAATTCTTGTTTTTTTAAATTCACATCCAAATTAGTTAGCATCTAGTGCAACAATGATTTCTGGAGTAGATTCCTTAGTGCCCCTGACCCATTTAGCCCCTCCCCTCTCCCCCCTCCCACAACCCCTCCATTAACCCTCAATTTGTCCTCCACATTTAAGAGTCTCTTATGTTTTGTCTCCCTCCCTGTTTTTATATTATTTTTGTTTCCCTTCCCTTACGTTCATCTGTTTTGTCTCTTAAAGTCCTCATATGAGTGAAGTCATCTGATTTTTGTCTTTCTCTAATTTTGTTTAGCAAAATACCCTCCAGTTCCATCCACGTAGTTGCAAATGGCAAGATTTCATTCTTTTTGACTGCCGAGTAATACTCCATTGTGTGCATATATCTATGTATACATGTACCACATCTTTGTCCATGCATCCATCCATGGACAGAAGGAAATGACCATGTACAGCTATGTACCCAAAACTTTAGGAAAACAGAAATGAGAAACATGGGTAAGATGCTTTTGATTTCAAGTAACAGAAACCCACAGAACCAACACCAGTGACACCTGTAGAAAGCAAGTAGGTGCCTGGCAACAGCAGATGCTCACTACATGTTACAGGTATCAGGACCATAAGGGACGGCGGTTCACGAAAAGTAATCCTAACTAAACAACTGAAAAATCCCAAAAAGAAAACAAAAGGCAACGACTTACAATGAAATTACTCTGGCAATAATTCTGAGGAACTCAGAATTAAAAAGAACGTTCATAAAAGATATGATAGGCAGAGAACTGAGGAGAAGGATGTCATCAACGTGGCAGAGTAAGAGTTTTCTATCATCTTCCCTCAAAGAACACGATTCAGACAATCACCCAGGGATGGTTCACAGTGGTCTGTGTGGAAGTCCAGGAGCCCAACAGAGAAGCTTCAGCACACCCAGGACCAGATGCTCCGAAGATGCAAGAGGCAGTTTCACTTTATCTGCATCACCCCCCACCCCCAAGGTGGTAAAGCTCAGGGCCGAGAGACCTTCAAGGCCCTTTATTTCTCCCACAGGGGAAAGTGAGACTGTGAGAATATTCAGCTTCCCGCCAACGAGAACCACTTCCTTCCCACCCAGCCAGAGACCGTGTGACTGGGGGACAGGGAGCAGCTGAGAGAACAGGAGTCGGTGCTCTCAGAGGGAAATGAAGGACCACAGATCCTACAAGCCACTTCATGGGCCCTCAGGAAGCCAACCCACTGGGGATGCTCCAGCTGCAGATACCCCCAACTAGCCCATGGGCACCTCCAGTGCCCTACATACCTCCCCACAACACCCCTGGCCCTATGGCTGGCTCCCTATGGACACTCCTGATGGAGGGGAGAGCGAGACTTTGTAGACAACTAGTGAGCGCATGCAGAGGGCCGACCTGACCCTGCAGGGCTGAGAGAAAGCACTAAGCCCTCAGCATTCAGCACCACCAAGGAGAGCAAATGGGAGTCTGTCAGCACTCAGCCTGGCTTTGCAGGACTGAGAGAAGGCACACAACTTTAAGAATTCCCAGCCAAGAGGGAATAAGAAATGTGAGGCAGACATAGCCATAGAAGGTCAGAGAAAGCCTCAGAATCCCTGACAGAGGTATTTGTTTTCCTGAAACCAGTAAGTAAAGACAGGAGAAGGTGACTACTTCTTTAAATGCAAAGATGGAACACCAGATTTCAAGAAACATGAAAAACCAAGAAAACAGGACACCACTGAAGGAACACAATTTTCCTTTAACTAACCCCAAACAAATGGAGATTTATGACTTACATGACAAAAAAAAAATAATAATAATTCAAAATAATTGTTTTAAAGATGTTCAGTGAGCTAGAAGAAAACACAGAAAAATATTTAAATTAAATTAGGAAAACAATACATAAAATTAGAAGTTTAGCAGATAGACATCATTAACAAAAGGCAAAGCAAACCAAAACAAATTTTAGAGCCAAAGAACATAATGAAGGATATGAAAAATGCAATGGAAGACACCTGTTGCACACTGGACCATGGAGAGGAAAGAACCTGTGAGGTAGAACACATGTCATTTGAAATTATCCATTCAGAGGCATCCGGGTGGCTCCATCAGTTAAGCGTCCGACTTTGGCTCAGGTCATGATCTCATGGGGAGTTAGAGCCTCGTGTCAGGCTCTGTGCTGATAAGAATCTGCTTCAGATTCTGTATCTCCCTCTCTCGGCCCCTCCTCCACTCACTCCCATCTCTCGCTCTCTCAAAAATAAGTAAACATCGAAATTATCCATTCAGAGGAAGATAAAGGAAAAAAAGAATGCCTATGAAAAACAATCTACACATTAGTGGAGTCCCAGAAGAATAAAGGAAATAAGGAACAGAAAGCTTATCTAAAGAAATAATAACTAAGAATTTCCCAAATCTTGGGAGAGACTAACACCTCCAAGTTCATGAAGCTCACAGGTCTCCAAATAATTTCAACTGAAAAACATCTTCTCTAAAACACATAATGATAAAACTGTCTACGATCAAAGACAAAGAGAAAATTATAAAAGTAGGAACAGGGAAAAAAAAATTTTGTTCACATTTAAGGGAAGTCCTGGGAAGGCTACTGGCAGATTTCTCAGCAAAAAAAAGTGCAGCCAGCACAGAGTGGGATAATATATGCAATGTGCTAAAAGAAAAAAACTTCAAACCAAGAATACTTTACCCAGCAAAGCTATGCTTCAGAAATGAGGGAGAGATAAAGACTTTTCTATACAACACAAGTTGAAGGAGTTCATCACCTCTAGAGTTGTTTTACAAGAAATGCTGAAAGGCATCATTCAAGGTGAAGTAAAAGTATACTAATTAATAACATGAAACATGAAATTACAAAACACACTGGTAAATGGGGCACCTGGGTGGTTCAGTCGGTTAAGCATCCAACTTAGGCTCAGATCATGATTTCATGGTCCGTGAATTCAAGCCTCACGTCAGGCTCTGTGTTGATATCTCAGGGCCTGGAGATTGCTTCAGATTCTGTGTCTCCCTCTCTCTCTGTTCCTCCCCCACTCACACTCTGTCTCTCTCTCTCTAATATAAATAAGGAAAAATTAAAAACAAAAAAACCCAACACACTGGTAAAGATAAGTATATAGTCAAATTCAGAACACTAATACTGTAATATGGTTGTGTGTTCAACATTTAATTCTCATATAAAGGTTAAAGGACAAAAACGTTAACTACAATAATTTATTAATAGACACAGAATATAAAAAGATGTAAACTGTGATGTCAGAGACAGATAATAGGAAGGG